TCCTGTTTTTTTTTAGAATAGTATTTCAGAAACAGAAAAGGAAATATTGAAAAGGCATTTAAGAAAAAAAGCAAAGGGTGCATTTCCAGTTGCGTTAAAAAATTTTGCAGCAACTCTGCAATTTTATTTTACAAAGGCATATGAATATGTTCGCAAAACTTTTTTGAATATTTTACCACATCCACAGACAATTAGAAGATGGTATGCCTCAATAGACTGTAAACCAGGAATAACAACAGAAGCTTTAAAAACAATCCAAGCAAAAATACACGAAGCAGCATCAGACAGTAAAACATTAAATTTTAGTTTAACTATTGATGATATGTCAATAAGGCAATATACAGAACTTGTAAATGATCAATATTATGGTTACGTCGATTACGAGATTAATTACAAGATAAATTCCGAAAATAATGATAATCTGCTAGAAGCAACATCTGTATGTGTGTTTCTTCTTGTTTGTATTAATGGTAATTGGAAAATACCAGTAGCATACTATGTAATAAGATCATTATCTGGCAAGGAAAGAGCAAATCTAATAAAAATAGTACTTGGATCACTACATGAAATAGGTGCTGTAGTAGTTAATATCACTATGGATGGCTGTGCAAGCAATATCTCAACAATGAATTATTTAGGTGCAAACATATCGGCAGAAAATCTAATATCTTATTTTATGCATCCAATATCGAAGGAAAAAGTTTATTTAATGTTGGATGCTTGCCATATGATAAAATTAATTCGAAATACATATGACACTAAAAGAAATATTCATGATAGTTCTGAAAATAAGATAGAGTGGAGATATATTGTTAACCTAATAGAACTTCAAGAACGAGAAGGTCTTCACACAGCAGTGAAAATAAATAGGCGTCATTTAAATTGGCAACGTGAAAAGATGAACGTACAATTAGCTGTTCAAATTTTCAGCAATAGCGTTGCCAATGCAATTGATTTCTGTAGAATAGATTTAAAGCTGCAACAATTTGATAATTCGACAGCGACCTCATTATTTATTCGAAATATGAATAATATTTTTGACTTACTCAATAGTAGAAATCTTTTATGTAAGAATGAAAGTCAACAACCAATCTCATTGTCTAATATTGACCGTATTAAAGAAAACATCACAAAATATATTGAATATATAAATGATTTATATATCGATGACAAAAAGATGGTTCTTTTAGAAAGGAAGATAGGTTTTCTAGGTATGTTAACATGTTTACAAAGTATAAAAGATATAGCCGAAACACTAATTGCAACCAAGAAACAGAATTTTTTACTAATATACAAAATGTCTCAAGACCACCTTGAGATGTTTTTTTCGGCTATACGAACTAAAGATGGTCATAACAATAATCCATCAGCCAGGCAATTTAGTTATGCTTACAGACGACTTTTACATCATAATTATCAACAAAAATGTAGAAGATTACAGAAAAAAGTCACATCATTAAATTTACTTAACAAACATTTACAAGATAAAAAGTTACTGTCGGAAGATGCTGTAAAATTTCATGGAAGTAAGTCGAAATATGTAAGATCACACATCACATTAATTGAATCCACTTGTGCACATGTGTTGCTAATTGATTTGTGATTTAAAAATAAAATATTTTCATTGATGAGGCAATGAAAAATTAATAGGCATCTGTATGACTACCAATGTGAGTAGATATGTACTATCGGAATATGTGCGAACAAGATTCTTCTGAAATATGTAACACATCGGTATTCGATATGGAAAATATTATATTTGAAATATAAAAATATGCCTACTTTTTTCACAGAATCGATAAAAAATTAATTATATATTCAATATTAACATTTATATCCTGTTTTTTTTTAGAATAATATTTCAGAAACAGAAAAGGAAATATTGAAAAGGCATTTAAGAAAAAAAGCAAAGGGTGCATTTCCAGTTGCGTTAAAAAATTTTGCAGCAACTCTGCAATTTTATTCTACAAAGGCATATGAATATGTTCGCAAAACTTTTTTGAATATTTTACCACATCCACAGACAATTAGAAGATGGTATGCCTCAATAGACTGTAAACCAGGAATAACAACAGAAGCTTTAAAAACAATCCAAGCAAAAATACACGAAGCAGCATCAGACAGTAAAACATTAAATTTTAGTTTAACTATTGATGATATGTCAATAAGGCAATATACAGAACTTGTAAATGATCAATATTATGGTTACGTCGATTACGAGATTAATTACAAGATAAATTCCGAAAATAATGATAATCTGCTAGAAGCAACATCTGTATGTGTGTTTCTTCTTGTTTGTATTAATGGTAATTGGAAAATACCAGTAGCATACTATGTAATAAGATCATTATCTGGCAAGGAAAGAGCAAATCTAATAAAAATAGTACTTGGATCACTACATGAAATAGGTGCTGTAGTAGTTAATATCACTATGGATGGCTGTGCAAGCAATATCTCAACAATGAATTATTTAGGTGCAAACATATCGGCAGAAAATCTAATATCTTATTTTATGCATCCAATATCGAAGGAAAAAGTTTATTTAATGTTGGATGCTTGCCATATGATAAAATTAATTCGAAATACATATGACACTAAAAGAAATATTCATGATAGTTCTGAAAATAAGATAGAGTGGAGATATATTGTTAACCTAATAGAACTTCAAGAACGAGAAGGTCTTCACACAGCAGTGAAAATAAATAGGCGTCATTTAAATTGGCAACGTGAAAAGATGAACGTACAATTAGCTGTTCAAATTTTCAGCAATAGCGTTGCCAATGCAATTGATTTCTGTAGAATAGATTTAAAGCTGCAACAATTTGATAATTCGACAGCGACCTCATTATTTATTCGAAATATGAATAATATTTTTGACTTACTCAATAGTAGAAATCTTTTATGTAAGAATGAAAGTCAACAACCAATCTCATTGTCTAATATTGACCGTATTAAAGAAAACATCACAAAATATATTGAATATATAAATGATTTATATATCGATGACAAAAAGATGGTTCTTTCAGAAAGGAAGATAGGTTTTCTAGGTATGTTAACATGTTTACAAAATATAAAAGATATAGCCGAAACACTAATTGCAACTAAGAAACAGAATTTTTTACTAACATACAATGTCTCAAGACCACCTTGAGATGTTTTTTTCGGCTATACGAACTAAAGGTGGTCATAACAATAATCCATCAGCCAGGCAATTTAGTTATGCTTACAGACGACTTTTACATCATACAAAACTAACAGTATTGCCTCATGGTAATGCTATTGCACAGGATGATACAAATATATTAAATATTACAAATGAAAGAAAAACTATGGATTTTTATGAAGATAAAATAGTAGAAGATATAAATGAAAATGATTCTGAAAATAAAAATGAGAATGATTGTATCTCTGAATCAAATGTCTCCGAATCAGATGACAATATAAGTGACAAATGGTGTACATCAAATTATATTAAAGATGTTGTAGCATATATTTCTGGTTTTGTTTACCGGAAAGTAAAAAAAAAATTAAATGTTGTATTTGCAAGCATTTATTGATTGGAACGGATTGCATGTCAGCATTGCAACAAAGAAAATGTAGAGGAGGACTAATTAATGCATCAAGTGATGTTATTAAATTATGTAATATCGCAGAAAGAATAATAAGAAGATATCCACATGAACATAATAAACGGCATCCTATCCAAAGAATGATTATTATTGCTCTGCGTTATGTAACATCTGATATATTTGATGATGTATTACATATGTTAGAACAAGGACCACTGCAGGATCATAGAACAGAATTAATAAAACTTGTGCTACACACATATATACAATTAAGATTGCGGTACATATTTGCATCAAAACAACATAAAATAAAAAGAGTTAGAAAGAAGTTTACTACATTGGTTAATTTTAAAAATCAATAAATAAAAGAAAATTTGATTTCTAAAAATTTAATATAAAACTTATTCCAAAATTCTTTTCCTATATGTTTCCTATATTTTGCCTATATATTTCATTTTTTAGAGAATTTTATTTATCTTGTATTAAAATCTATGTATTTCATACATTACTCTCTCTATACCTATATACTTTATGATTAGTAAAATTTATTAATAATAAACTTAATACAATTAATTAAATATGATTTTGTAAGATTTTTCCTTTAAAAACTAAAAAAATATTGTTCACTGAGTAAATTTAGAAGAATGTTATATATAAATGGTGCCTAAGTTAATTGGTTAGGTTAGGTTAAATGCAGGGATGGGAAGTAACTCGTTACTGTAATTGCCGTTACTTAATTACTTAGTTACCTTACTGCAATAACAGTTTGGTAATGACAATGCGAATTTTTTATAATAATAAAGTAACACCATAGTTTAGAACAGTCAATAAGTATTTACAGCGGGTTAGAAAAGTCATTCATTACTGGAAAAAATAACTCGTAATTTGTAACTCGTTACTTCTTAAAGTAACTTGTAATTTAGTAACTTAGTAACTTTGAAACAACCTGACTTTGCGCGGACGTAGCTCGTCGATCACGGGCTGCGGCCAGGGTCGCAAAGAGGTTCGGCCAGGAGGAGAGAGATGCACAGGAGCAACAGAAGAGTCCTAAAAACGGCGGCGGTTCAGATTAGCTGTCGGGGAGATGCGACATACGCGGAGGTAATGCGTATCGCCAGGAGTAAGGTTGACATAGACAGCTTGGAAATCTCAGAACTACGGCCCAGGAAGGCACGAACCGGAGCATTAATTCTGGAAATCCCAGGGACGGAAGGTGCCAAGAAGGCAGACAAACTGGCGGAGAAAATAAAGGAGGCCCTGGGCGAGGAACAGAACGTGTTAGTTACACGCCCCGAAAAAGTAGCGGAAATCAGACTCAAAGATCTAGAAGAGTCAACAACCAAGGAGGACATCCTGGCAGCGATAGCCAAAAAAGGGGAATGCCCCAAAGACTCGATTAAAATAGGGGACATTACCACAGCTAACAATGGCTTAGGGATAACCTGGCTGAAGTGTCCACTAGCAGCGGCCAAAAAGGCGACAAAAGACAGGAGAATACGAATAGGATGGACGACAGTCCGAATAGAGTTATTACCGGAGAGACCAGTGCAATGTTTTCGTTGCCTAGAAACTGGTCAAGTGCGAAACCAGTGTCGGAGTGACAAGGATAGAACAACTTTCTGTTACAGATGTGGACAAGGAGGGCACGTGGCAAAAGAGTGCCTACAAAAGGTTAACTGTGCAATCTGCGCTGACAGATGTCTCAAAGCGGATCACAGAATGGGAGGCCCGGCGTGTAAGCCCCCCCCCCCC